GGGAAGGGTCAGGTTCAGGTTGGGTGTCTAGAATGGCAGGTGTATCATCATTGGATTCAATGTCAATGGTTTCTGAGTCTGGTAAGGGTGGGTTGTTGGGATCTTGTTCTGTTGGATGAGTTAGGGCCTCAGTGTGATGTTCTTGAGGGTGAGAGAGTGTGGCCGTGGGAGGCGCACGGGGGGGCTGGGGGTATCTAGGGTCTTCACCATGAGAGGTATCAAAACCTCTATAGTGATCAGGGTGGGGAGGGTAATAGAAAGGGTAAGGGAAGGGAGGAGGAGGGGGGTAAAGGTGGTAAGGGTATTCTGGGTACCCATATGGCTGAGGGTGCTCGGAGGAGCGAGGACGGGGCCTTTTGGGAGGAGGAGAGGAGGGCATTGCCGGTTCCGCCTCAGGAGAAGGGGATCGGCGGCGGCGGCGTGAGGATTGCGCAATCGGCGCAGATGGAACCAGGGAAGGAGTTTCCCTCGGGCCCGAGGTTTGTGGAAGGTTAGGGGATGGGAGGGGGGAGGCTTGGGAGAGGGGAAGCGGTGGCGGAGAGGTTGACCGGCCTGCGGAGGTCTGAGCTTCCAACTCCGAGGGAGGGGCGAGGAGCTCGAGTGGAGGGAGGTGGGAGGGGTCATCCAGGTGGAGCATGGTGGGGAGTGGCTCCTGGAGGTGGATCACGGAACCGGAGGAATGGAGCATCGGTTCCAGTCTGGGAGGGCTCAAGGACTGTGAGTCAGTGAGTTGCCGTCCCTTTTTTTGTTTATTTGGTTTCTCTTTCGTTTTCCCAGGCCTCGTGGCCTGTTTGGAAGATTTTTGCTTTTTTGCAGGCGGCTCCACAGAGGGAGCGTTTGCCTGATCCAAATCACGCCTTTCCCCAGCGCGTGGGGAGGGAGGCTGAGAGGGCTCCAGTATTGGGGATAGGGAGGGGGTAGGGAGGGATTGTGGAGCCAGAGCGCGCTCGTAAAGCAAAGCTTTTAAACGGGCATCTCTCGTTTTGCGAGCCCTTGTAGTGAAATTAAGGCAAATCTCACAGGATTGGAGATTGTGGGATTCCCCCAAGCAAAGGAGGCACTTTGAATGCCTGTCGGCTTCGGGGAGGGTGGCTCCGCAAGCTGAGCAATTTTTGAAATAAAGGGAAGACATCCTAGCCTGAGGTGAAGGAGGAGAGTAGTCAGCCGGTCCGAGTCAAGGGTTGGAGAGAGGCAGGTCGGTCAAAAAATCAGTCCAAAGTCAGTTGAAGTCAGTCCGTATGAAAGAAATCGAGGAGAGCTGTTCCGAGATGCTGCTAGTTTAGCGCGGAAAAAGGAACTAGATAATGGCGGCGCCGCTTGGCGCTTATATCCGGGGGGCGGGGAGATGGGCGGAGCCTATATGGCTCAAAATAATCATTTTTAATTCATTTAACTTAGAAATGTTCCGAGTTTCTGCGCATGCGCAAGGAAGAACCCATAGGTGCGCATTTCACGGACGACACGAAGAATAATACCACCTTATTTGTAACCCACCCTATCTCCCCAGAGGGACAGGGCAGTTTCCAATAAAAATGGCAAACATTCAGTACCAAAGACAAACAAACAACCAATCAAATAAAAAACAATAAAAACAACAACAATATAAACGTATAATAACTAATCGAAAAAGTAACAATTGTTAAAAAATAAATATAAATAGAATGTAACACATCACAAACATTTACCACGTAATAAAATCTAACAGCTAAAAGGCATTAAGATATGGGGTGAATCATGGCAACCAACTACCTCTGATATGTTCAGATTTACAGAATACCCAGTGTTGTTCAAATTCTCTACAAATCCCATCAACACTATGTAACACAATTTTTCTTCCTGGATTATATATGTCATTTCCTAATCGGTTCTATCATAAAAACATGGAAAAAGTTTATTAAACTGCAAAAATGTTGTTTTTGCGGGACATCCTGCAACACATTTTATTACAGTTTTTCAATTAATATAGTCTCAACCAAGTCAACGTAGTTTGTGACAGCCACAGAAACAAAGTTTCTAGAGTACTACTTTTAAAAGAAGCACTGCAAAATTAAACAGGAAATACTGGGAACAGGGATTTTTTTTTTAAATTTTGTTACATAGTGCAATTATAGAAAGTACAGCGTGCTCCACAGAATTAAAAACACCATTCATATAATGTACCTTTCTAAAATACTCTGATTTCAACTGTTTAAAATTGCCTGCTTAAAATTAAATTTATGCAAAAACATGCTAAACCTGCAGTTATGATCACAACAGCTTTCTAATGAACTAAGTTAAGAGCTGCTTTTATTTTTGAAAAAAGCTAATTCTAAAAATTGTGGGGAAGCTATATAATGGTGAATGTGACACATACGTTGCTATTATGTGCTTGAAAATGAAGCACAGAAGAAATAACAGGCAAATAATCATAAACCTTTGGATCTACCACCTCCTTTTAACAGATACAATACTATACACTCTCTAAAGGAATCATCCACTCAGCAAACTTAAAGGGGATCTTGCATATTCTCATTCTTATCTTCATACGTGAATTCTGCAATTGGTTCTCAAATTGTGAATACGAATTTTCTATATCTCACACAACAGATTATAGAAAAAACTATCCAACAAGCATTAAAAGTACTTTTAAAACAGTACTTCTTGTAATACATTTAAATAACTAAAAATAATATTATAAAGAAATCCCTTAGTGAAAATATTCTTTAAAGTTGTACATAATGTACCTAATATCTACAAACATACCAATATAATTTTTATTTATTAGGATATCCATCTAATATCTATAAAAGTACCGTGATTAAAGTGGGGAAGGAAATGGTCACAAAGCATGATCTTCCTCAGTCTTAGGATTTGTTGATACTTATAACTAAGACAATGGAGAAAAAATATTTTCTCTACCCTAACAAGTCTCTGTATAATATATACTAGGGAGCCTCAAACTAAGGCCTGGGGGCTGGATATGGCCCTCTAAGGTCATTTACCTGGCCCTCGCTCAGGGTCAACCTAAGTCTGAAACGACTTGAAAGCACACACAACAATCCTATCTCATCAGCCAAAGGCAGGCCCACACTTCCCATTGAAATACTAATAAGGTTATATTTGTTAAAATTGTTCTTCATTTTAATTATTGTATTGTTTTTAAGTGTTTTCCTGCAATGTGCATAGGAATTCATTCAATTTTTTCCAAATTATAATCCAGCCCTCCAACAGTTTGAGGGATTGTGACCTGGCCGTCTGTTTAAAAAGTTTGAGGACCCCTGGTGTATACAGTGCCTACATGCAACATCAACAACCCTTTAAAGATTTTATACCATATGAATAAAAGGGCTTCTGGGCCAGTTTCTACCTTTTAGAAACTACTAGTCGGCCCTCCTCTTTTGTGGGTTTCTCATTCACAAATTTGATTATTTGCTGATTATTTGTTGCTGCATCTGCTGTTACCCTATCCTAAAAGAAATTGTAAGCCCTGCAAGACTAGGAGAGATCACAAATGTGAAATGAGGCATGCAAATCCCTATGAAAAATGGCATAAGGCAGCAGCACAGACAGCAAATAAGAGCAGAGTGCAGACATAAGTTAGATATGAAGAAAACAGAGGCAAACTCAGGCAAAAAGAACAGGCCAATGTACAACTGAAGCAGCAGCTGTTACACTAGCCCCTTTTCAGGACAACACCCACTTGCTTCCTCCCTACCATCCTCTACCTATATGTCTGCTTCATGTCTTTTCTCCATCCATCCATTTGGTCACTGCCTTTCATTTCCTGCCCACTTGCTCATTGCCTTCCTCCCTGCTGGCAGAGAGAACAACAGAGAGGAAAAAGAAAGCAGAGAAAGGTAGGGAGAAACCAGATGTCCAGGTTGAGGGAGCAGGCAGGCAGGCGGGAAGGCAGGCAAAGAAAAGAAATGGCTTTGAGATCATTCTTCCTCTTTCTCCACCTGTCCACTTATTCACTGCTTTCTTCCCCTCGGGCAGAAAAAGGGAGAGAAAAATCAGCCACTTCAGTTGAGGAAGGCAGCAAGACAATGGAGGAAAGAAGGGGCACCTGTTTGTCCCTTCCTTTCTCTATCCGCCCAACTGCTTGCTGCCTTTCTCTGCTCACTTGTCTCTTTCTCCCACAGCTGGGGCACACATGCAGCTGGGGAGCACAGCAGACTGAGAGCTCAGGAAAGCAGCAATGGAAAGCAGTGAGACTGGGCTGCCCATCCCTGCATTTCTTCACCCACCTTTACTTGCGAAATGTGCTGTGAAGACTGCCATCTCATCTTCAAGTGCCCAAGTTGACAGTATCCGAGGGGACACAGAAGTAACACCCCATCTCTCTCTCCCCAGTCCCTCACTGCCCTCAAAGATATTCATGGTTTTCCCATTTTCATGGTGGGGACTGTTCTCCTAACTCCCATGAAAGTCTGTCAACTGTAGTTCACAGTAGAGGGGATGTCACTACAAACGAGGATTATTTTATAACTATAAAACAAGGTGCCTTTACAAACCAGCAACTGAGGTGATTTAAATGTTAGGAATAGTTGGGAAAAGGACCTTAAAAGTTTTCTACTACCATATCAGAAAAATGCATTAGTAAGCATACAGCACCAGAATGCCCAAAGTGACCTACATCATAGATAAAGTTAGAAAATGGTACAGTCAGGATTTGTTGCTCAGAAGATCTGATTTCACTGTGATTACATAATTTCAGAAAATGAGAAGCAAGAAATACTGTTGAATGTCACACCTCAATTTAAAAAAGCAAATACAATTCCACCCCATTTGTTACAAGTATCACAAGTTTATCCTTACTGAAACAAAACATTGAACTCCTTTTTCTAACCAAAAAATACAAAGACCTAAATCCAAATGTTTGTCCCAATCTGAGTAAATTCAAGAAATTGCTACTGGATCTAACAACTAGATTTAGCCTAAGACTAAGGTTAAAAGATTGAGGAAAAGCAGATTTAGAAGACATGCATCAATAGGTGCGTGCATTCAAAATGTATACTTACATAACAATCCTCCTGTTCAGGAACCAGTATTTCCTCCTGTTTCTGTCATATCCAATAGGTTCATGTCGAATGTATGGTTTGTTTTTTTGGATTTCAGCAATACAGTCCGTTACACCAGGCACCTTATGTGCTACGCATACTTCACACTGCCATTCATCTTCCGGTACCTCCTCAAGAGGCGGTTTTACACACTCCAAGTGATACACAGCTGAGCAAGTTTCACAGCAAAGCAAGTCTCCCAGTTTGTGACAAACTCTACAATGGTCATCATACTGAATCACACCCTCCGACAGTAATTCCTCACGTGCAATGTTTGTTGTAAGAAATTGATCCACTAAAAACTGCAGAACTTTAATTTTATTCTCCACTGGTCCATAAGGATAGTCCTCTGCCTCTTGAAAAGGAAGAACATGATGATATTCCTTATCACTCTCACAATACACCCGCAAAATCTCAGGCCACGTCATTCCATCAATGAAATACAACGTGGAATTAACACTATCTTTGAGGTCAGCAGGACCAAAGGTAGTATTTGAGGTGTCTTCTTCACGTAAAACAGCTTTTAAAAGCACTATGTGCATCTCTGCCATAAGTGTACACTGCTCCTGGCTGACTAAAGCAGCACAAAAGTCCTCAAAACAAAAAGGAGACAAGCGCAGGACAGTGCCAAAGTTCCGCAGTACCTCATAGATGGCAATAACATTCATTATATGTTCGTTAGGCACCATTAAGTCCTCTGAGGATTTAGGCAAGTCAAGAGAAGGGATGTCTTTTTCTTCTAAGATTGGTGAGCGTGGACGATGTATTCTTTGTCTTCTCCTACCTATAAATGGAGAGCAATAAGAAAGGTCTTGATAACAGGAAAAAGTCAAATCATCAACATTGCATGCCTTTTTCTCAAAACTAGGACTCAAAGCACCTTATAAATTAAAATAAATATAATTCAGATAAAAACATAACAAAAATTAGTATAAGCATGGAATAGAACTACCAAAATAATTAAAAATAACATGAAACATACTATTAAGAATAAAGATAAGTTTGTAAAAGCAGTGCAGGGACAAACAGTACAAAATCTTCTTAAGTCCCTTAAAAAAAAAAAACTTCTACTGAAAGCAGTGAAGCAAGTTGGGCGTAATTTATCTTTCCCTGGTAGGAAGTTCTGCATTCAAACTTTTCACTCCAAGATTCTTTTAGTACACTATATATCACAAATATAGTTTAATTAAAGAAACCAGCCCAAAATACCTAGCTTGACACAGTCACAGGTCAATCTGTGCACTGTACCTTTATGATAGAAACTGAAATGATGAACCTAAAGGAATTTCCTCTATTTTTTCTAGTATGGCACCATTTCTGGCATTTTCCTGGCATTGACCTAAATATTAAAAACACACAAAAAGGCAAGTATTCACTGCCTCAGGTGAATAAACATATAAAAATAATGTACAATAAAGCAACAGTAGTAACAGCAAGCTTGCAACAAAGAATTAAGAAATGTTGGAGAGAGGTCCCTGGTCAAAGCAGTTCCTGGTCAAGGGGTCCCTGGTCAAAAAAAAAAGATTGGGAACCACTGTTTTAGAAAATTTATTTTCCTCCAAATCTTAGGCCATACTTACTGTTTCAGATACATTTTTTAAAAAACACACACACACACACAAATGATGAGCAATGCAACTTGATGTTTTTAAACTGCAAAATGTAGTAATAACAAGCATTAAATACTGCAGTGAATAATGGCAATGATACTTTTCAAAAATTTAGAAAGGGTTTCCTTTGAATGTATTTTAGAAACCAGATTAACATTTGATAACACTTTATTAAACCTCCAACCTGCCTCTGTATCGATATATAAATCTTTCCTACTTCTAAAGGAAGGGTAGGGAATAATGTAAAGAAATAGGTATCCCTAATAATTTATATTTCACACATGTTTAAAATGTCTTAAAACAAATCTTGCATCCTAAATATTTGTACTTAAAATACATGCTAAATAATATACAAATATTTAAAATAGTGTGGCTATCAGATGCATAGACCCAGGGGTTTGCATTTGTGTGTTATTATTAACTGATTCATGTTATTAATTAAAACATCTGCATTATACATAATAAAAAATAACAATCTGGTCTAAATATAAAAAGAGCTAACAAAACTAAGACATGATTATATTCATTTACTCAACTTGTTGCTATCTGTTAACTCAAATTTCCCCTCTGCTTTTTTCTTTGCAATTGCTAAGACTCCTAGAAAAAGAATCAGGGACCACATATGTGTATATGCTTAAAGACCCCTTGTTCACTTAAGAAAGTCAAATTTCAATAATTAGGAAAACAATGTGTGGAAAGAAAATTCCCATAAATCTTGTGCTGCAGGACTTTGCTTTCCCAAATTCTTCTAATATTTGACAAATTTAGTATACTCAGGAGTTAAAGTTTTTTCTCTTTTGTGAGAAGTCTGTACTTTTTTGTGCATTCTCCTATTTCAATTTTTCTGTACTTCTCCTATTCAATTTATTTTAATGTCAATGTCTTTGCTAGAACTATTTTACACAGTCCTAATAACAGCTGTAGCTGTAACCTGTAGTTATTTTTCAATGTCTGGAAATCTCATGTTTATCTGCTGCCTTCAGAAATTGCCTAAGATTGTTACAAAAAAAATCAATTTCATCCATAGTTTTAAATGACTTAGTTGTACAAAAACGGCGAGACATATTTCAAGGAATTTCAAACACAATCTGAACAGGGGAGTCATTCCAACATAAACGGATCAGGGAGTCATTCCAATATATATGACACTGCAGCCCTTTCACACAAGGATTTTTCTTATCAAGGCTAAGTGCTATGTATAAGCTTCATATATGTTTTTCTCACTGTTGAAATTGATGTCACTGATATAGATTTTATTAACTATTTATGCTAATGACTTTCCATTGCTGGACCCAATACCCCCGCCCCTCCTTTCCTACCCTCTCTCTTGCTATATTATTATAGGGCCTCAATAATCCACAAATGCAAAAAATCATGCCCTTTGAGGGTTTTTTTTTTTTACTTTAGACAAACATTTTAACATACTGTACTTGGTGTTCTGGTTCTTTTATTTTTGTTAATCAATTTGCTGTCAAAAGCATGTATTGGAAGAATATGAAGCCTATGAATAATGTGATATTAATTTTATCCTATCAGCTGAGATAGGTTTACTTCAACTATCTAATTTCTTATGTGAACTATTTCTTTCTCTATGATTTTAATATATGGTTTTTAGGATCTGTCACACATCCAGAAGTGGTGAACTGATGACGTTGGAAGGACCAGTATCTTATTTCATTAAGTTCAAGCTTTTACTTGTTTTCAAATCATAATTTTGTTATCCCAGATTATGGGCACCATAGAGCTGCGGTTTTATAGCGAGGTGTTGGGGGAAGCATCCCTCTCCCTGACCTCTAATTAATACAGAAAAGGCCTGGAAGGGAAAACCTATCTTATCTTTTCCCAGTCACAAATATAGAGCTGGATCATACTCAAGATACCTCTCCTATCCCACAAGGTACAGTATAATTACCATATATCACCAACAGGATTCCAGCCATAGTGTAAGGACACCATAGAACAGTGGTTCTCAACTTTCCTAATGCCATAACCTCTTAATACGCTTCCTCATGTTATGGTGACCCCCAACCATAAAATTAGTTCCATTGCTACTTCAGAACTGTCATTTTGCTGCTGTTATGAATAGTAATGTAAATATGCAGGATGTATTTTCATACACTGGAACAATTTTGGCACAAATACCCAATACACCCAAATTTGAATACTGGTGGGATTGGGGGAGGGTACTGATTTTGTCCTGTGGGAGTTGTAGTTGCTGGGATTTATAGTTCACCTGCAATCAAAGAGCATTCTGAACCCTACCAACGATTGAATTGGGCCAAACTTCCCAGACAGAACCTCCATGACCAACAAAAAATACTGTGTTTTCTGGTGGTTTTTGGTGACCCCTCTGACATCCCCTCATGAGCCCTCCAGGGGTCCCGACCCCCAGGTTGAGAAACACTGCCATAGAATTTTTCAAAATACTCTCCACTAAAGCTATCAATCTCAAGGGTCTTTTCATTTATCTTGTTACCTTTATTTTCTCTTCTTTTATTAACTAATTTAAATCATTTTCCAACCCTATTAATCGTTCTCTGGTTGATTTTATACTTGGGGTTGGCAACAATTTTTTATTACATTAACTAATAGTCAGTTATCAGAAGTGCATGCATGAAGCGTCAGACATAAGCACTGCATATGTTTACAATCGCTATTTATTCACATTTGATTAAAATGTGATTTCTAGGAATCTCTAGGTCCTCTAGCGTGACTCTATTGTCAGCTTCCTCATGGCACACTGGAGCAACTATAGATTTCTAGAGTGAACATTTTTCTAGCAATCTCTAGGTCCCCCAATGTGATTCCGTATTCAGCTTCTAGCTGACCACAACATCAACCACAAATTCATGCTGGAAGACATAAACATGTCTAGAGAAGTGTTCTCTCAGATAAAAAAATAGTAATTTCTATATTTACAGTGTTTTCACTTTCTGTGCCTCTAATACCAGTGAATGTGGAGGGCTGACTGTAGTTTGAAAGGAAGGGCATGCAGTCTGATCATCACCTTGGGTGAGTATTATGACAGACCAAGCCACCCATCACAGGACTGGAATGAGTGCATGTTTCCATATGAAGCTGCAGTGGTACAGCGTGGAAATGCTAGTAGGAAGCAGCATTGCCTAGAAATGCCAGTAGCCAAGGAATTCAAGGTTCGGTTTTCTTAGCTAGTTGGCTAAAGAGCTTCTGTGTAAGAAAAAGAGGCATTCTATCCCATGCAAAAAGTGAGTAATTTTTTGTCTTAAAACATCCCTGAAAATGTATATTCAATCCTTTGTTGAATTCCATAAAACAATACAGAGCACTTATTCTGTCAATGTCCTTAAGATGAAAGGGATGTTTGAAAAAGTCATGTAAAAGAACATGTATATTTTTAAAGCTCTGAAATGAACATATTTTAATCAAAAGGCAGGGGAAAGAGAACCACCATTAGCAGAATGCTTTTTCTATGTACTCAGCCAAAGTAAAGGAATTTCATGGTTCTTTATTATTTCAGTTCCTATCATGAAAATATTCAAATGGTATTTTGGAGCATTTCAGAGATGTATTGTAAAAGGCACCTTATGACAGATCAGAAAGCAGATCAGAAAACAGTGCTGCACGTGAGAACTAAGATTATAGGAATTTGAGTAATATTTAATGATTTTATTATAATTATCTTACACTTTTTAGCAAATGGGTTTTTTATTAAGCAACGTTGAGATTTTTTAAAAGTCAAAAATTATATAAAGGTACTCATTTAAATAAATATCATTTAATTATTTTGTATCCTTAGACAGCAAATGCTGCAAGACCTCACCCTCCAGTAAGAGTGAGGTATTGCAACAACAATGTAATGATGATAAAGATTGTCAATTTGCTGCTCTTTCATGAACTACGCTCTGCATAATAGTAGTATGGAATTATTTCATTACTATAATAGTTAAAATGTTCCAAATGGGATTTTTTCTAGTTTTCCATTTTTAATGGTTTGGATGCAGTGGAATTCTACCTATGGGGTTATGCCACTGAAAAAAGGGAGGAAGCAATCCTTGAATTTTTTCTGCAGCATTTTTGGACCTTGGGATCAAAGCTATGACCTATTAATCTAAAACTGCATTTATTTGTACAGAAACCACAACACAATGATGGATCATCTGCCACTTGTGATTAAGTAAGATCCTAAAGAATGGTC